CCTCTTGAGATTTTAATATGGGTTGAAATAGAGTTTGTAGATTTTCCGTTAATCCGAGTTGTTGTAATCTGTTATTTTCAACTTGGATCTTTATTTTATTCTTAGCTTTGATATATTCTTTTTAAAATATTATTCCAATTATCCATTTTTAAAAAAATAAAATTTAACAAATGTCTGTCATAACTCTTTCACCCGCAGGTTTTCTAGTATTAACGAATATATATCCATGATCATCTGGGTTTTTCCATTGAGCTTTACAAGCCTTTTTAAATGCATCTCTGTCCATTCCGTGATTAATCGAGTGAATGATTTGAGATAAATCGTTATCGTTTAATTCAAATAATAAAAAACAATTTACATTTTTTCTAATGAACATAGAATCCATCCCGTAGAAAGATTGAGATATATATGTATATGTATATGCAGTGACAGTTGTGATGTCTTCCCTTCGTGAAGAGTTTTTGTTGAACAGCTTGATTTCTTTGCGCTACACAATCGTCAAACAATATTAGACAAGTCTTGATCATTAACATTTTTCGTAAGAAAAACTCTTATATCCGTTGGATTCTTTCCTTCGATGTAGTATCTAAGGTATCTTTTATTTCCACTTCTTCTTCGTTTTCTTCGTAATATTGAAATAGGTCTTGAACATCTTTCTTTGGTAGATATTCTCAAGCTTTGAGAAATTGATAATACGATTGCTCTGGTGTTGTTGGGTAGATATACAAAGAATCGAAATCTAAAAGGTTTGGTGTTGTCAACATGTTAAAAGTGAGATGAGTTTTCCCAGAACCGGAACTACCGCATATACACATGAGTATTGGGTTATTAGGAAATATTTCTGAATGATTAAATTTTTTATTATTTTAATTTGTTCCAAAAATCACTCCTTCTCCTTTATACTTTGAAAGATATATTCCTTCTCCAGTGTGTATATTTTTTAAAAATATTCCATTACCCTTATGTTTGACTTTGACTTCTCCCGTGTCAATACTATCTACTAATTTATTTAATCCTTGTTTAACAGTTTTCTTGGTTTCTTCCCCAAATCTTTTTCCAAATTCTTTTATTGTGCCTATCATTTCTCCCACTCCTGAACCTTTGGCTTCCTTTTCCATTATTAAATTATGTCTGCGTTCTTCAGCGACTTTAGCATCAGCTGCTTTCTTTGCGTTGTCAGCTTTGACTGCGGCAGATATTCCTCCAGTAGCTGCATCCGCCGCTGCAATACCACCAAATATTAAAGGTAAAAGGAAAGGTAAAAAAACCACCTTTTTTACATTTGTATCAATTCTTCCTAAATCTATATCGTCTCTGACTTTACAATATTTGTATTTATCAATAAGTTTTTTTAGTTATGCTGATTTTTTTACCGTTGAAAGTTATTACCGTTAGTGAAGCTGTTTCAATAGCTTCTATTATTTTCATAACTTAAGTTTCTACTTTCATTTTTAAGGGTGTATTTTTACTCAATTCTTATCATTCTTCTATCTGCTATTTTAATTAAATGTTTTGCTTCTTCCAATAATAAACAATAACCTGTTACATCTCCTTGTGTTTTTTCAATATGAATATTTATGTTCACTCCTGTTTTGAAAAGATCTTCTTGGTGAGCTGATAGATCAAAACCTAAGATTGGATGATTAAGTGCAAAATCTACATATTCAAACTGAGGTATATTTCCAAATAATTCACACATATTTTTATAGTTTCTATACAATTCATTATAATCCTTTGTAGTTGGATTAATTGTTAAAGGTTGGTTAGGATAATTATCGTTGTTTAATCTTACTTGAACTTTATGGATTAAAGGATTTTGAGTTTGGTTCAATGCCACTCTAAAGACATTATTGTTATTCGTTTGAGAATCTGGTAAGTTCTTGAAACCAACCATTAAATATCTTGCTGGTTTAATAGTGTTAGTGATTGGCTACGTGGTGGATTCTCCAGTTAAAGTCATGCTACCTACTGTATTACGATGAAGAAAAGCTATTTCAATATCTTTAGTTAACGAGTTGAATATTATTGTTTCTACTTCAATTGATGGTGTTATTACGGGTATGAAAAGTTGGAGATTCGTTATTTCTAATTTTGCATCTGAACCATTCTCTCCAAAGAATATCTTATCGTCGTTGATTTCTCTTTGTAGATGAATTTTATATGGTAACCCTATGGAAACTTTTCTATGTTCCAACAGACTGAATAAAGGACATAATTTCAAATTTACGTAATTACCCCACCTATTATTCTCAACAATATTATTGTATTGAAGTACTCGTTTTTCAAATCCATGATTAGCTGCTCGTGCTACTCTTTCTATTGTGTTTCGAGCAACAACTCTCACTTTGCAACATTTCTTACCGGTTCTTTTAAAACACTTCCATCGCCAACATCGGGTATCCAACCCGAGACTGAATCGAGATCTTTAGGATATAAAACTGTTTTCAACATTGTGTTGAATTACCCAGGGCGTTTGATTGTTTCTATCAGATTTGAACCAGCTTCCAAAACCATCTCGCTAAATAAAGATGGAAAGAAATTGTTTTCTAACGTTGTATTAGTTTGTGGAACTTGATTCTGAGTTCCATCTTTAATTTTGAAATCGCATCTGAAATAAGCATCTGAAAGAAGCAACCAATTCGATAATGAATTTATTTCGAAGGTAAGAATTTATGAAATGTAGGGAATTTAGGTCTTTTTTTTGGGAGCTAAAAGATTGGTCGCATTTTACCCATGAAATGAAATGAAATGGAATGGGTAAAAAATGCGACCAATCTATGAGCTCATATACTACTGGGCCACTCTACATAATCCTCGCCAAGTAGGGCCGATCGCGTACACTCAGCATACCAGCCAACTTATAATGTCATTTTTATGTATTTTCAGAACATGTCCTATCAAAATTCCCACAAGTTAAGATAATGGAAATCATCTCTGAAAAATTCAACAACGAAATAGAAGCCTCCTCCCCACCCCAAATTTTCAAGGAATCATGCACTTTGTGAAGAAATCACCAAAATTTGCATAGTTGTTGTTATATGTATTCTTTACAATATTCAAGTGGACCCACCAGAAATCTTTCAAAATGGCCGCCATTTTTAAAGATGGCCGCCAAACATATAGCAAATGTTCGGGTTTTAACATTCATCGTTATTTTGACACCTGGTGGTCTGTACAGGGTATGTATATAATGCCTAAAGTATTAGATATTTTCAAAAAACATAAAATACAAGTAGGCCTAATGGCTTCCTACGGATTACAAAATAACAACGACCAATATAGAAATTTGTCATGTTTAAAGGGCATAGATTTTGAATATTCAATTTGTTGTGTTTTTCTATAACTATAAACGATACAAGTTCCAAATCAGGAGAAAATTTAAAAATGGCATCAGTTTGTTAACAAGAAGCATTACTCCGGATTTTTCAGCATATCCAGCGGGATACATTCCTTGATTGTGACGTCAGCTCGGAACAAAGGTGCGAGTGACATACACATACATAACGTCTGTATGTTAAATATAGAAATTACCCCTATACATCTTTAAAAGTTCCAACTAGAAACAAATTATGCCTTCCATCGTTAAAAGTGGAATTGAATTAGCTAATTAACGATGTTTTCAAAGAATTTTCAACGGCATGCGTTTCTAAGTCCGAATTTTCTGAAAAATTTCCCATTTCGGAGCTGAGCTTCTAAATCTATATCCATTTTGCTAAATTTTCCTTTTTATTTTTTTTTTAATTTCGTTCAGGTGATTGTTAAAGAAATTGACTTATAAATATAATTTAGGTTTTATGAAAATGGGCTGTGCTAACGTTTACTTAGATGGCATGAGTCGTTTTTGTCGGCCGATTCGATTAGGTAGATTAGCTATCAATAGACAACCTTGTTTGTTGACAGTGGGGCCATATTTCCTAATCGCTTACACCAATTACACCAAATCGTACTAGCAAATCGAAACTAAATCGAATCAGCCAACAAAACGCCTCTAATCAATAGACTTAAGTACAGAAATATATTATGACTACCAACAACTTGTATATTGATATGGGTAATCTACCAAAAGATCTAAATACCATTGTACTACAGGCCATCAAAAGACGTTCCATAAAGTACGAAAGAAATGCTAGAAGACAGGTAGCTTTGGAATAGTGTACCTTAACAGACATATAAGATATAACATTCAATTTTTAAGGGCTTTAACACCACGTAAAACGTCTAGAAATTACAGTTTAGTTCAAGAGTATTATGGTCATGGTAATGTAGAAGATATTTATCTGGAATATGATTTGCCACCAGATGCTTGGATTACTAATTGTATAAGAATTTGTAAAAGTTTATTCCGAATATCTTCTATTAGAGTTAAGGTATAAGCCGAAGTTCGTATTAGCAAGCCATTGTGAAGATGCCCATACACTAACTGACAAGGCACGTTCCCCTTTCTCTCGCAAGATGGAATGAGCCGCACTGGATCCAAAGCAGACTTTCTTAGTCATTAATTTCAAGGTCTAAATAATTTTCCCATTTCCTAAATACTTTCGGTTTTATGTATCTTGATTCAATCTGTGTATTATAAATACCTTTAGGTTTTAGTGTATCTGTATCTTTGGAAAATGTTCCTTTAAAAATTTTGTTAATTTGATCCAATAAATGCTTTCTAATATCAATGTTTGTTTCTATCTGAAAATCTGTAAATGGAGTTACAGACTTGGTCATCGATTTTAAGGCTTTTAATAAAATGAAGTTCTTTTGATCAGGTTGGTATGTACCTACGTCGTTTACAAACAATAATCCCTTATTATTCAGTTCATAATTAAATACATGAGAATTATTAATCAATAAATGCGTGTTATTCCAGATTATCTGATTTTTAAACTCATGTAACTGTCAATATATCGTGTGTATATATCGTGCCAATTACTAAATAACTCATTATAGAAAACGCTTGATGTGTTTAATTTTTTATCATAGTTACAGAAAGTGAGTAAGTTGTCATTAAATTGTTTTAATATAAAGTTATAAATATTGATCCACGGTGAAACTTTTGCTGTGATTATTTTTCTAATCCAGAATATCGCTCTGCATTTGTTCATTTCGTTAAAGTTAATCATACCCAGACCACCTAAGTCGTATTTTTGACGTAAGTTAATTCTTTTTATTTTGTCAGTTGTTGGAAAATGCACTCAGGCATCTTCCAAGGTACTTTATTTTCCAGCAAAAACTCGGTCGCCTCTAATCTAGTATACGTCACTCTCCCGGTGGTGAGGTGGCCGAAATATATGAAGAAGGTTATCACGCATTGATTATCAACTACCAGACGAGAGTGGTTATCTACCAATGTCATTGGAACTAATAGTATTTCTCCAATAATGAATAAGATTAGTAGTTTTTATTTGTGTCTTATGCCATGTTCTTATCTATCATCTATTAACTTACATACTAACGTTTCTGTTTTCTATTGTTATGTCCCTTACTGCTGTATTGTCTTTATAACCCAAGACAACATCGTTTTTAGTTAGTTTTGTCTGCGGATAACGGACAGCTCAGGTCGTAAAGTCAATCCACCAATATGAGGCAAGGAACCCACCTGTAGACTAACATTATAATATAAACTATACAAGAACTTCAGTTATATTTTCTATATAACAACCAAGACGATCATGCTTAAAAGAAATATTTTATTACATACTTTTAATTGGTGCCGTGACCAGGATAATTGTTTTAACAACGAACGGGAAGTGATAAGAACACAACGTGCGAAACCCTACGTAAGTAATTTTTCATTACTATCATTGCCATTATGGGAGAAGAATTTTTCAAAACGTTATCCACACAAATTGGACACCTATCCAATAGTGTAACACTACAGAGCATTTATTCTATAGTAGACCCATTTCTTGGCGATCCTAAAAAGTTAAGCGCCAGTATACTATAAAGGTCTATAGTAACGTGTTAACTGTTATTATTAATTGTACGAACGCCTGTATTCTAGGCATACTTGCGCATGCGCTGGGCTAAGTAAAATACCCGGTTTTTCATTCCGCCATTGTATTTTGTTTACCTTTCAATAACAATTTATATCATCCGAGAGTAGTTGTTAATCTGCACGAGTGTTGTTTTGGTCTATACTGGCGTGGTGGCTGAATACGGAAACGAACTTACCCAAACCAAAGCTTTAATACTTAAATTATAGTATAATCACGCCAACCAAATTTTCCACAACAAAGACAAAGGAGCTCGTGCAGGCGATTTATCAATCGTATCAAGTATTTGTTTACAACTATTTATCACCACCACCACCAACATCTCGACTTGTGAATAATACCCAGCCAGTAAATCTTTCAAGACGAGTTGGTGTGAAACAGTCCCCATTCTTTACAGCATTCTACGATCATCATACAGTTACTGTCACACTCGACTCCGGTGCCGAAATAAATATGATACGGACTGCCCTAGCCAAAGCCATAGGTGTACCTATTACTAAGAGCACACAGACTGCAACTCAAGCTGATGGCAAAACCCCCTTATCCATATATGGAGAAACCCACATAACCTTGGTTAGAAATTCTTCAAATCTCATTTTAGATGCACTTATTGTAGATGATCTTGATGTCGACATACTCGCTGGCATACCCTTCTTTGTCAACAATGATATAGCAGTACGTCCATCCGGGAATCAAATTTTAATTGGTGATAATATAACTATCACGTACACTGAGCGACGACAAACCGTTTCAAAGATTTATTCAGGTGCACACATCCTCCGAGCAACAACAACTACTACTTTGTGGCCTGGTGATTACATAGAACTCTCTCTACCTTCAGACGTTAAACCATCTGAAAATCAAGTAATGGCCTTGGAACCACGATTAGAAAGTCAAACCTCAAATGGGTGGCTTACACCCCAACTGTTTACACCTGTTGGTGGTGTTATTAGATTAGCAAACCCCATCAACGAACCTATTGTTGTACGAAAAAATGACCATATTTGTCAAGTTTTGCCCACTCTCGACAGATATGTGCACAGTACTGAACCTGAAACCAAACCAACACACACTACGTCAGATCTAACCTACTTGGATAAGATTACAGTCGATCCAGATAACATCTTGCCATTAAATCTTAAACAAGAATTCTATAAATTACACAAACGCTACAGTTCTGTTTTCGACCCAGTAATTGGATGCTACAATGGTGCCGTCGGACCCATCCAAGCCGTTGTCAACATGGGCCCAGTATAGCCTCCCCAACGGAAAGGACGCATGCCACAATACTCCAAATCTAAACTAGATGAACTCCAGTCAAAATTTGATGAATTAGAGAATCTGAACGTTATTTCTAAACCCGAAGATCTTGGCATTGTGGTAGAATACTTAAATCCATCATTCCTCATCAAAAAGCCCGATGGTAGTCACAGATTAGTAACAGCATTTGGAGAAGTTGGTCAATATAGTAAGCCACAACCATCCCTGATGCCAGATGTCCAGTCTACTCTTCAAATTATAGCTCAGTGGCAACATATTATCGTCTCTGATCTGACTAAGGCATTTTACCAGATACCTCTATCACATGATTCACTTAAATATTGTGGAGTAGCTACGCTTTTCCGCGGAGTCCGAGTTTATACCAGAACGGCTATGGGTATGCCCGGCTCCGAAACTGCTTTGGAAGAGCTGATGTGCCGTGTATTAGGCGACCTGTTACAAGAAGGCATTGTAACGAAACTAGCTGACGACTTGTATTGCGGAGGTGATACACCCGTACAACACTTCACAATTGGAAACGGACACTTGATGCCTTACAGCAATGTAATTTACGTCTTTCATCCGCCAAAACCACAATCTGTCCCCGCGAAACAACAATATTAGGATGGATATGGAATATGGGAAAAATCTCCGCAAGCCCTCATGTCATAGCGACTCTTAGCTCAGTCTCACGCCCAACTAAAGTTAAAGGCTTACGTTCATTCATTGGAGCCTATAAAGTTTTAGCACGTGTTTTGCCTGATTGTGCTGCCTTTCTTAGTTCTTTAGAGAAGGCTGTTGCTGGACAAGACTCAAAGTCACACATACAGTGGGATGAAAGCTTAGAAGAAGACTTTCAACGAGCTCAAGATCATTTGAAAGTTCACAAAACCATCACCTTACCCCGTCACACTGACAAATTGTGGATTGTTACAGATGGGTCCGTAAAACAGTCTGGTATCGGCTCAACATTATACATTAAACGAGGAACCCACCTTTACCTTGCCGGCTTTTTTAGTGCCAAACTAAAGAAACATCAAATCACTTGGTTACCATGTGAAATTGAGGCTCTTTCCTTAACCGCAGCCATTCGCCACTATTCACCCTACATCATCCAATCCAGCCAACGTACCTCCGTCTTGACTGACAGTAAACCTTGCGTTGAGGCCTATAGCAAGCTTTGTCGTGGTGAATTTTCTGCTAGTTCCCGAGTCACGACATTCCTATCCAACGCCAGCCGATATCAACTTACCATCAGTCATCTTGCTGGAACAGCCAATATACCAGTCGCAACGCACCCCCTTGTTCCGAACCCCTTTGTCAGATATGTTCCTTTATCCACACCATTGAGGAGTCCACAGTCCGGGCCATTTCTGCTGACGATGTACTTACCGGAAACCTACGCCTACCATTCTCCTCCCGATCAGCCTGGTTACAAATTCAACATGACTGTCCAGATTTACGGCGTACTCACGCTCACTTAACTCAAGGTACTAGACCATCTAAAAAAGCCACTGATATAAAAGATGTTAAACGGTACCTTCGATCTGCACAAATAACTAAAGATGGCCTTCTTGTTGTTCGTAAAGAAGAACCTCTAGCCCCAACAAGAGAATGCATCATAGTTCCAAGACCTGTACTTCATGGATTACTTACAGCATTACATTTAAAGTTTTGTCATCCGTCCAAACATCAACTCCGACTACTCTTTCTCAGAAATTTTTCGGCATTAGACTTGGACGCTGCCATCGAAGTAACGACCAATCAATGCCATACTTGCTCCTCTCTTCAAAAGATTCCACCCTCACTCACCTTACATGACACCGAAACTCCTCCAAATTCTATTGGGATAAATTTTGCTGCAGATGTGGTCAAGCGTTACCGTCAACTTGTATTAATTCTACGTGAAACCGTCACTTCTTACACTACGGCCTGTTTAATTGAAAATGAACAGAAAACCACCTTACGTTCCGCGCTTTTACAGTTATGCCATACCAGTTATGCCATACCAGTTGATTGCCAGTCCGTCAGTGTCCGAGTTGATCCCGCACCTGGATTAACGTCCTTAGTTAATGACGAACTACTGAAAACTTATAACATTCACTTAGATATTGGACGAGCCAAGAACATCAACAAAAACCCCGTTGCTGAAAAGGCGATATATGAATTTACAGACGAATTGCTAAAATTCGAACCCCATTGCACCTCAATATCACCATTAACACTTTCTGTTGTGTGTTCTCGTCTGACTGCTAGGATAAGAGGTCGAGGACTCTCTGCCAGAGAAATGTGGACTCTCCGGGATCAATTTTCCAACGAACCCATCTCTGTTTCCAACCAAGAGCTCATACAATCTCAGCATGACCTTCGGGTACACAACCATCCGTTCAGTGAAAAATCAAAAGCATGTGGGCGTGGTCCAGCAAATCCCGACACATTTCAAATTGGTGACATTATTTACCTTAAGAGTGACCGCAACAAACGATCAGCTCGTGATAAATATCTTGTCGTAAATAAAAGTAATAAGTGGCGTGACATTCAGAAATTTGCAGGGACTCAACTCAGATCCAAACCATATCATGTTAAAATCACTGAATGCTTCAAAGTTCCAGCATACGAATTCGAATCTGAAGTTAAACGACCAATCTTCGACTATACTAATGACTCAAGTGAGTCTGATGAAGATATTGGAGAGAATTTAGCAAATAAGTCCCAATCTACGACGATTCCACAGAATCATGATATTCCAGAAGAACTTATTCTTCCAGCTTCCCCAGAAGATCTATCTATTCCTCAACCTACAGGATTCCGTCGGTCTTCTCGACAAAAAAAACCTCCGAAGTACCGTCAAGACTTTGTAAGATAGCCCTCTCCGAACGTGATCTGTGTTTAGAATTGACATTAAGTTCTTCTTTATTTTATTACTTAACTTTATCTTAATCTCCAGGAGAGAGACATGAAGAGAAAAGTGGTCACGCCAGTATTCTATAAAGGTCTATAGTAACGTGTTAACTGTTATTATTAATTGTACGAACGCCTGTGTTCTAGGCATACTTGCGCATGCGCTGGGCTATGTAAAATACCCGGTTGTTTACCTTTCAATAACAATTTATATCATCCCAGAGTAGTTGTTAATCTGCACGAGTGTTGTGTTGGTCTATACTGACGAAGAGATAAGATAAAGCAAATCGAGAAGTACTCCGTGTTAGCAAAAGTTGGTAATGAACGCATGTAGTTTATTGCCTACTAATAGAATAAATGATAGGTCAAAGTTCAATCAGGAAAAATAAAAGCTCTCCTTGTAATACAGCCAACAAGGGGAGAGAAATAGGTATAACACGATTTCAAATAAATTTGACTGGTAATCCTAGCTCTTGCATTTTAATCCTTAAGTACATGTAAAAACCAAAACTTAAGAAAGTATTACGTTACAGTCGGTTAACGGACAAAATATTGAAATAGATGGTAGTGCGGAGTTTTACTTTAGGTTAGGGGGAAAGAAAGTTCATCATAAGTTTAATGTAGTTTCAATTATGAATAGAAATTTAATTGTAGGTAGGGATATCCTTGTGGATAAAAACATTCGACTATATTATGACCTTAAAAGTTTGAGGTCCAATGGAACTTACGTTCCATCAGAGGAGGACGCACATATTATATGTTCACTGCTGAGGATAACGGCAGAGGTTACATTATGTCCTCAAAGAAGCACCATGTATATGGCTAAGTTGAAAGATACAGGTCACACACATGATGACCTATTAGTACAAAGTATTGGAAAAGGGTTTTTAGCGGGTCAACCAGGAGTGGTGTTGACCAATTCAATTGTATCGACCGATAAAGAAAAAGACTATAACAGTAAGATCTCGGTAACGATTAAATTAAAAGGGGGCTGTTTATTCGACCAAGCTCAACCTATTATGGACCGAGACATTACAAAATTGGAGTCAACAAAGAGAGAAATAAATAACGTAACAACAGACAATGACATTTTCCAAGACTTTGATGTTAATATTTAGTTTAAATTTATTCTACTTTTACTTTGTTTACACCGGATGTAGAACTTTAGTTGAAGGGTAAAATAAATATGGTTGACAATGTCATGTGATTTTATTAGAATAGAGAATTAACAAGGTCTTCTTGGAAAAACATATAATGCTATAAACAAGAATTGCTTGCCTGGGCAGAAGTTACCAATTTAAGTGCTGAAAAGAAGGGGACAGCAGTGGCTCTTTCACTCCCAGAACCAAGAGAAGAACAGAATAGAGCTGAAGAGGACAGGCCAGAAATATTCAAGATCAGAGGTCAAGTATTTGATCAAATTCCCCTGGAATCCTTAAAAGTAGAAAATGGCCTTCAAACCTTGATTGACTTTTTGGATGAAAATTTGGGCAAAGATGATTTAGTGGACTGCTTAGAAAAATATGAAGAGTTTGACTCATATACTAGAAAAGATAACAGTACAATAGGTGAATATATAGCAGAGTTCAACATACGTTACAGAAGAATAGAGAAGAAAAAGATAAACCTACCCCCAGAAATACTTGCTTACCAACTTGTAAAACGAGCAAAATTAAGTGAAGATGAAAAGTTGTTAGTATTGACCGGTATGAACTATTCCAGCAGAGAGACACTCTATGAACAGGCTAAAACTTCTCTCAAAAAATTTAAAGGTTGGGAGATGAATCGCTCAACTTCGACGAAACCTGCTATAAAGCTTGAACCTGCCTTTCTTGCTGAACACGAGGAGGCTTTAAATATGTCTGGTTATGTTAGAAGAGACAGTAGTTATAATAGAGGCGGTTACAGAGGAAATAATTCTAGAGGTTGCAGAGGTGGATATATTAGAGGAAATGTTCAGAGAGGGGCACAGGGAAGATTTAGTGGTACAAGTATTCAAAAAGTTACAAAGAAGATAAACGATCCAGGACCTGATGGTAATCCACTTAGATGTCCATCCTGTGGTTCATATAGACATTTGATGGCAGATTGTCCAGATAGTTATGAAAATATGTTCCTTTTTACTGGTTATCAGAAAAATGATGTTTCAATTCTGGGAAAAGATGCCCAAAATTTTGCTGTATTAGAGAGTGCGTGTTCCGGCACTGTTTGTGGATCAAAGTGGATGAAGAATTATATGGATGCTTAAAGGGCCCCATACACGCTCAATATTCTGATGACATTTTTTGACATCAGAATATTGACGAAAATCAGAGTGGCCACACACGTAAAAAAAAGTATTGACAGAAAGGCAGTCATTTGTCTCTAGATCATCAACTAGGCAACATGGATCCTGAAATTGCATTGGCAATAGCTCTTATAAGCGAAGATCCCGTTCCTAAATCATGGGGCCCAAATCCAATAAGTATTGATGTCAATTCTTAAATTGATAAAAAATGAAACTAACTTCATCCTGACTGCTTTCAACTTGTACTGATGGAAGAATTGTGTTCATCGAAGTGCTTGGTGTTTCTTGATCTCTCAGAAAGCTCATGGCATCAAAATACCAAAGTGTTGGTTGATAGATGTCATCCGTTCCAACTCCTGACTTAGTTGAATCTAGCACCTTTTTCAGTTCCTTTCGAAAATTTGTTCTTAATGCAAACTTTTTTCGGAGTTCATCTTTTGTGACATCAGGAAATTTTTCCTGGTATTTTCCTAATAATGTTGCATAAGCTTCATCCTTCTTCGTTTTATTGCTGTAATCATCAGATTTTACCCACCAAAGAGCCGGCAGGCCTTTATACACCTGTATGCATTCAAGAACAAACTTTCGATCTTCTTCTTTGCTTGTAGAAGGCATTTTTTACCTTTGAATTTTGTCCTTGAAATGAAATCTGACGTGATAATGCCCACACACCTCACAATATTATGACGCGACAGATTATGTCGTCAGAAAATATCAAACGAGCTTTGATACTTTTTGGAGTCTGTCAGAATCTGACGTAATGCTTCAATATCGCTCACACACACTCAATATGATTGACAGAATGTCATTCTGTCGGGTTTTCTGTCAATCATATTGAGCGTGTATGGGCCGCTTTAGATGGTGATGGTAGGCAGAATATCAAGGTGTCTGAAAGAGTTAAGATTTTCAAGTTTGGTGGTGGCACATGTTAGAAGTCTGTACAACATTGTGAAATACCTGTCACTTTAGGAGGTAAAAACGTCATTTTAAACACTGATGTAGTTGATTCTGACATACCATTACTAATGTCTCGTGATGCTATGAAGAAGGTTAGAGTAAAATTGAATACTGTGGATGATACAGCCGAGATTTTTGACAAAATCGTTTCATTAAACATAACCACTTCTGGTCACTACTGTATACCAATTTGTCCTGTTGCAGATGAAATTCCAGTAGAAAATGTATGTGTAACACGTCTAAGCTTCGAAAACCCAGAAGATCAACATAAAATCCTGCTTAGGTTACATCGTCAGTTTGCTCATCCTCTCGAAAAGAAATTTATTGACCTATTAAAAGACGCGGGATCATGGCATGAGGAGTACAAAGAAAGTGTGATGCAAATTTATGAGAGGTGTGATATCTGCAAACAATTTGCTACTACCCCTGCCCGACCTGTAGTAGCACTCCCTATGGACAAGGAATTTAATGAGATGGTAGCTATTGACTTGAAGAGTTGGAGGGGTAAACAAAAATTGCATATAATAGACATGTGGTCAAGATATACGGTGTCAATATTCGTCAATAGTAAACATCCTAAAGACATTATCCATCCATTGATGCAAAATTGGATTGCTGTTGTTGGTGTAATGGGGCAATTCTAAATGATAATGGTGGAGAGTTTTCCAATCATGAAATAAGAGAAGTTGCACCCATTCTTGATGTCAGATTGATTACCACAGCAGGAGAGAGTCCATTTCAAAATGGACTCTGTGAACGGGTTCATTCTGTCACTGATGCCATGTTAGCTAAATTGGAAGCTGATTACAGAAAAACTGACATTCGTGTATTATTGTGCTGGGCCAATATGGCACGAAATACACTGAATATGTGGAGTGGATACAGCAGTCATTAGTTGGTATTTGGGCTAAACCCTAATATCCCTAATGTGATGAAAGAAACACTGCCAGCATTACATGGAACCACAACAAGTGAAACATTTGCAGAACATTTAAATGTCTTACATAGTGCTCATAGTGCTTACAAACAGAAGCAGACGAAAGGATAAGAAGAGCCTTGAGAAGTAAAGTTGAGTTTCAGAACAGAGTTATTCAAATGGTGATTTTACAAAAGAGATGGAAGTAATAGATGGTTAGGGCCTGGTAAAGTCGTGTTTCAGGACAGAACAGTCATGGTGGTGTTTTTGTGATTGTCTCTCCCAACCGAGTTAAAAAGGCAAATAATCCATATGACAAGATGAAGTTTTAATTAAACCTAATGAAGTATCAACTGAACCAGTAATTAAAAATCAAAAACTAAAAGCAGGTAACAGAATTAGATATGGAATAGGAGAAAGTGACACATGGAAAGATGCTGAAGTATTGGTAAAGCTACTGGAAGTCATAAATATTGGTACAATGTTAAAGATAAAGAAAGATGGAGACGGTGGAGTAATGAGTATTGATTTAGAACAAACTGAAAGGCAACATGATGAAGAAGAGAACGAGGAAGTGAACAGTGTTGAAATTGAGAAAGCTAAAATTACTGAGTTGGAGAAACTAAAACAATTCAATACATATGAAGAAGTTGATGGGAATGGTCAAATGGTAATATCTACAAGATGGGTGATTACAGATAAAGCTGGTAATGTTAAGGCACGCCTTGTCGCAAGAGGCTTTGAAGAAGAGAGTGATTTTAAGACTGGTAGTCCTACAGTTGGGAAGGGCACCTTAAGATTATTTTTGAGTGTATCTGCCAGTAAGAACTGGCCAGTGAAAACAACAGACATCAAATCTGCTTTTGCACTCAGGCATCTTCCAAGGTACTTTATTTTCCAGCGAAAACTCACTCTCCCGGTGGTGAGGTTGCCGAAATATATGAAGAAGGTTATCACGCATTGATTATCAACTACCAGACGAGAGTGGTTATCTACCAATGTAACAAATAGTATTGCTCCAATAATGAATAAGATTAGTAGTTTTTATTTGTGTCTTATGCCATGTTCTTATCTATCATCTATTAACTTACATACTAACGTTTCTGTTTTCTATTGTAATGTCCCTTACTGCTGTATTGTCTTTATAACCCAAGACAACATCGTTTTTAGTTAGTTTTGTCTGCAGATAACGGACAGCTCAGGTCGTAAAGTCAATCCACCAATATGAGGCAATAAGGAACCCACCTGTAGACTAACATTATAATATAAACTATATAAGAACTTCAGTTATATTTTCTATATAACAACCAAGACGATCATGCTTATAAGAAATGTTTTCTAACACACTTCCATTCCATAGGAATTTATAAATAATATTAAGAGATTTAATAATATAGCTTGGTATTTTCAAAACTAATGATGGGTATAATAACTTGGGTATGGCAAATGTTTTTAAAATCTGTATTTTTCCTCCAAAACTTAAATTTCTGTGATTCCACTTACTGATAATATTAGATATTTCATTGATCCTATTTTCAAAATTTAGTTCATTGACTACTTTTTTAGCATCTGCAAAGTTTACACCACTTATTTTTATAGATTTACTACAGGTTCTTAAACCAAGAGTTTTTAGTTATATCTTTAAGTCATCTTCAAAGAAATTGTTGCCTTTGAAAATGTTGTAGAAACAGAAATTCCACCGACAGGTGGTTATGAACAAGACAAAATTCAACGACATACTGAAACTGCGTCGTCTAGTTCTTCAACCGTTATTTGAAGAAAGTGATGGTAAATGAGGTGACGACAATGATAGTGATATACGCGGATACATCTTCGTCCAATGTTGCGGCATCTCGACATTGTGAAACGTTTCTTTTACGATAAGGATGCTTCATCTACAAACAGTGATTAATTCAGAAAATCAATTCTAATACAAACTAAAAATTCCGTGCAAAATAAATTAAAGTATTTTAATGCACATGCATGTTCTCAAACCTAGATAGAGCAATGCCAAATGGTTCAACAGATTGTGATTGTTGTGGAGGTGACCTGATGGAAGTAAAATTCCCGATTACGCAAAATTGTTCACTTCCATGTCAGTTTGAAGGGGGATTTCAGTAGTTGTGGAAATGAAGAATTCTACATAACAGTAAAAAATGTAAAGTGCCTTACCAGAAAGTTTAAAATGATTAGTAGTTCAGCTCAATATTGTTTTTGTGGAAATGAAAAATTCTTTGACAATTACATATTACATATCAATAAAAAATATAAAGTGAAATGGTATCGTTCGAGTTGTGTTGGATTGAAAAATGTTCCAAATGGTATGTGGGTATGTCTTAATTGTAGGTCCAAGCGAAAACCGATTCTTCACTACCTTTACAGACAATTCGGATTTTCCTTTTGTGAACGTTAGATAATAATACTGGTATAGAACAGGATAAAACTACTACTGGCGCAACACAGGATAGAACTACTGGTACAACACAGGATGAAACTGATACACCAAATCATGCTGTTCAAGAAACTATGAAGAATCTTTTATGTGCAGTGACTCAAACTAAAATTATTCTTAATGACTTTAGTTCTAATATAAGAAGAGATATCGAAATTCCAACTTTATTTTCAAGTTCTAGCAGGAAAACCTATCGGCCCACAAATAATGAAATAAATGATGAATTTGCCCGGGAATGTTTTGAACACATTAATGATGTCCTTGAATGTTCTGAAGAATTTGATGATTAATTGCTGATCCAGATTTTAGGTGCAAAACCTCACTCTTGTAATAAAATAGCCATTTTCTTATCCTTTGTTTGATAGTGTGAAACAAAGTTCACAGCTGTTTATTCTCCACAGATCCTTCACATAACCCTGTTTACACCAGTATTGTGTCCCCAAATGACCACTCTCGTCCAGCCTACTTCAAAGGATTGAGTATGGGGTAGATCAAATAACCACAACAATGCCTTTTGAACAGATATTCAATTACGGGTCTGTGAGAACAGCAAACATTATTCATATTTCTTATCATAGTCTTTAAATATTATTCTTTATTCTATTATTATTTTGTATTGTGTTTCTTTGTATGGGGTCGGCTATATCAGATGAAAACAAGCAATCTTTAGTCAGTACGTTCGAGGATACCTAGCTGCTCAGACGTCTGATATTGCCAACCACTGTACAGTTATGTTAGATTGTAATAAACAAAGTCGAACATCACAACGTTGGTGAGATTCCAATATCGGAAGTCTGATATTTGGGAAAATCACTTTTTGGAATTTCCTAGATCTAATCTTAGATACGCACGTCATATCCAAATATCAGAGCTCTAGGCCAATTAGATTTTGTTTTATAATCCTAAGATAAAAAGTCGTATCTCATTGGATAAAAATTTTGTACTTCCAAAAAGTCGCAGTCAGATTTTATTCCCCACATGCATCGTCTGCTTAAGATTTGAACAATTTTTTTTTAATGGTAAGTTTTCTTTTATGTGTTTTTAATAAAGATTGCATGAACATGCTTCATTTTACCATGCAAATTCTGCAATTAGATCTTTTCCTACAAAACAATTTATGGGTCTTCTAGTGGAAGAAAGTAGTGTGGTAAACTAATTATCGTTAAGAGTTAATTTAAGTTAAAATATTTAACTATTATAACATTTGATTCATTTTATAGCCTATTCTATTGTGGTATGTGCAAAATTCATTAATTTTTTTACAACATTTTGGATTGTATTCAAATAGATTTCCCGTCTCATTTCAGGTCAAAGGAGCACCTTAGTCATGCTCAAACCAAAGCAGTTCTACTTCAGGGGGGCAATTCCTTGTTCGTCTTGCAAATAGTGGTCAAACCCCACTCACTAAACCTTAGAACATCACTGAAATGTCAGTCAGTGATCAAGGTATGAGCCAATCAATACTACCATCAACTACACGCAGAGGTTTATCATTAATAACTGCAATACCTGATGGGTATACAACATCTGGAAAAGAAGAGAGAACTCTTAATCCTATACAATGTAGAAACAGATGTAAATATGGAAAATGTTGTTCAAGTTTCAGTAATCATAATAGACATAATATATTTGACCTGTTCTGGAAATTAGACTGGGTAGGAAAGAAGATGTTTATAGTAGACATGGTAGATAAGGTACCAGTTCAAGAGAGGAAAGTAAAGCTACCAAACTAAAAATTCCTTTACACCCTGCAGAACCTATTGACTGTTTTCAAGCATATTTCCCTACTGGTATCTTTCGATTGATGGCCGAAGAAACTAATAACTATGCTGAACAGTTTTTTGATAACCCAACTATTGATGAATTGCCAGAAAACAGTAGATTTAGAGGCTGGTCTGATACAGATGAATATGAAATGAGGAAGTTTCTAGCCTTGGAAATTGGCATGGGATTGTGCAGCAAAAATAGACTTCAGGATTATTGGGAAACGTACTGGCTTACAAAAACATTGTCTTACGGGCAAATTATGGCTAGAGATCGTTATTTGTTGCTGAGATCATTCTAACACTTCAACAACAATGCTAATCAGCCTGCTAAAGGAGATATAGATTATGACCCACTCTATAAAGTACGGTCATTGGTAGATTTGGTCAAGACACATATATGGATATGTACCAGCCTAACAAGGAGTTATCGGTGGACGAGATCATGAAGGGATTCAAAGGACGGCTAAGTTTTAAACAGTACATCCCGAATAAACCACGCAAGTGGGGCATTAAAATTTGGTCCTTGTGTGATTTTCAATCCGGTTTTAATTTACGCTGGAATGTTTACACCGGAAAATCAGATAACCGTGATCAAGAAATCGACATGGGACTGGGTGCTAGCGTTGTTACATCTCTTCCGCGTGGTCTTGATAACTCTGGACATGTGATTTATATGGATAATTTTTTCTCTTCGCCTTCTCTTTATGTAAACTTGCAAGAAAAAGGAATGGGGGCATGTGGTACTGTCCGATCTAACCGTGTGGGTTTGCCCAAGAAAACTGGACAGGCTGATGTTCGTTTGAAACAGGGTGACAGGCCTGTCTTTTGGAGTAGTAAGGAGATGACATTCACAACATGGCAGGATACTAAAAGAGTCAACTGTCTGTCTTCTATTCATGGAAATGATGTTGTACAGAAGGAAGTTCGGTGCAGAAAGGACCCAACCGGTAAACGTGTAGCACTTAAGCCAGAAATGGTGACTTATTATAATAAGTATATGGGAGGCGTCGATAAATTTGACCAATTGGGCTCTTATTATTGCTATCCTCATGAGTGTCAAAAGTGGTACCAGGTATTGTTCCATTTTATAAAGGAAACTGCCCTTGTTAATATATATATCACATACAAGTCAACACATCCAGATGACAAAACCATGGACCAATTGAAATACCGACAGAAAGTTATCGAACAACTTTTTTCCAGTGCTACAAATGATCAGGTTCCAGAAATTCCAACAGTTGACATGGTGGAGGATAGACGTAATAAAAGGTTACAGGAACGCCATTTCCCTGCCGAATATTTGAACAAAAAATATAGACCGGAATGTGTCGTTTGCAGTGATCGTACCAGTGGAAAACGCGTACTTATTGTGAAAATTGCAACCTCCCAATGTGCATCTCGCCATGTTTCAAACTATTTCACACCAAACGGAACTATAAAGTAAAATACTAAATGTAAGACTTCTTTTGTCATTGACATATATGTCTTTATTATCCAAATGTGAACATGAAATAGAACTAGGATAGTAAAATGCAATGATCGGATAGAATTGTTTCCTGCCAATGTTAAAAAAAAAAAAAAATTAATTTTTTTTTTTTTTAATTTTTTTTTTGTAGCTGTTATAGGTATATATATTGCAAATTGTTTTAGAAATGCAGAGACAAGAATGTGGAAATCATTTATTGGTATTTTTCAGCAGTATATTTTTATTTTTACCGAAAAATTTGACATTTTCAGCCAAAAACACGTTTTTTGCTTGATTTTGAAGCTAATTAGCTAATTTGCATAAATTTGCACATTTGAAAATAACATATTCTGAAACTTGTTGATACCCAAAAACTTTTACACATTCACAAATGCTCTATCTCCAAGAATTCATGATGTATTTTGACATTAAAATTTCTCACTACAATTAGTAATAATTACATTGTTTTAGCCCAGCAAGGAATATAAATGAGCATATTGTGCAGTCCAACAGCGAAAGGGATACTAAGTTTCATCAAGATGGTATCAAAATTGTAGCCTTTATCGTGCATACAAGCCGAATTTAACGCGTTTTAACTAAGTCAAGGGCAAAAACTCTGAAACAGTTCATCCGATTATTACCAATTTCAAACTTGGCCGAGATCTCATCAACATTTATGTGCATACTAAGTTTCATAAATATCAGATAAAAATTGCAGCCTTAATCGTGCATACAAGCCATATATAACGCGTTTTTACTAAGTCAAGGGCAATAACTCTGAAACCGTTCATCCGATTATTACCAATTTCGAAATTGACCGAGATCAATATATACATGCAAACCAAGTTTCGTCAAGATCAGATAAAAACTGTAGCCTCTATCGCGCATACATCAAATGTGGACGGACCGACGGACAGGGGCGACGGCAATATACGTCCACATTTCCATTTGGGCGTATAAAAACAGAGTAACAGAAAAGGTTAAAATGGCCAAATCGTATTTACAATCCCTACCAAATTTACCCAGCCATTATTGCAGAGCTTCAAGCTCTAAAACATACTTAGAACCAGTCTTTGCAGACATGACAGAGTCTTTGCAGACATGACAGAAGTCTATAATGCCTACTCAAAATACTGTGAAGATAACAACGATTCCAGAGTGTGCAGACGTACTTTTCGAGATATATTTCACGACCTAAACCTTGCAATCTTGCAATATACACGTCTAAGAAGGATCAATGTGATCTATGTTGTGGCTATCAAACAGGAAATGTATCCGAAGACAAATATAATTACCACATTCAACAAAGAGACAATGCCAGAGACGAAACAGAAAGAGAAAAGCAGACTGCTATTAAAGACCCCACAGTTATAGATGCTGGATCTGTATGCTGTCCTGTTAGCTCCAAATTTAAAAGCATCTGCAATGAATTATAAGACCAAATTAGGATGTCATAATTATACTGTATACGATTTGGCGTCAAGGGAGTGTATTTGCTATTTTTGGCATGAGAGAGAGGGGGGTTTAACTGCCAATTCATTCGCTTCCTGCCTATACGATTACTTATTAAGGGTACCCGAGAGGTCTCCCAACACTAAACAAATAATTATATACAGTGATGGTTGCACCTACCAGAACCGTAATACAGTATTATCAAACATGCTCTTAAAAGTGGCATGCGACAAAAACATCACCATCCTATAGAAAATACTTGAAAAGGGCCATACACAAATGGAAGTCGATTTTGTGCACAGCGTATTAGAAAGAAAAATTAAAAAAACGACCAATTTACTCCCCTCAGAATTATGTAGACATTAAAACATCCTGTCAACATTCAGTATATTACTTGTCACATACCTTCTTTAAGGAATTTTCAAGTCTCTAAACAATAACATCCATACGTCCAGGTAGAGTATCTGGAGATCCAGTTGTAACAGATATCCAGGTCTTAAAATATTTGCCTAATGGATCAATAACCTACAAGCTAAACTACAATGATGAATTCGAAGAGTTACCAAGAAGATCAAGGTCTACATCCACGCCGTCCTCATATGAAAAT